CATACCTGCAGTGGTTGCTCCTCTATGTCAGACACTCTGGGGCTGAGGATACAGGATGCTGGAGGCACTGAGGACACCTGTCCTGAATACACACAGCCTGGTGGAGGAGACGGACAAGCCGAAACACTATTCTAATTCCACAATTAGACAAATACAAATAGAATATCACTAACAGGGATGAGTGGAGTCCCTCGGTAGTGAAAACGGTTAAGCACTCTACTGCTAACCCAAGGGTTGGTGGTTCAAACTTACCCAGAGTTGCCTGGGAAGAAAGGCTTGGAGATCTGCTTCTGAACAGTCACGGCATGAAAACCTGATGGAGCAGCTCTACTCTGCACACATGGAGCCAACAGGAGTCAGAATCAACTCAACCGCAGCTGGTTTGGTTTGGTTTTTTTGGATTGGGATGAGAGGAAGCTTCCTGGTGAAGGTGATGTCTGAAATGAGAATTAAGAAAAAGAATGAGACGAGTGAAGTATGGGGAGTGGGGAGGAATGGATGAATTGGGCATAGAACAACCAGAGAGATTTTTTAAAGCATGGATCATATCATGTCTCTCCTTTGCTTACAACACTCCCATCACTTTCCCTAGTACCTAGAATAAGTCCACGTTTCTTACCCTGGTCTTCCACGCCTGCATGCCATCACTGCTGTCCCATACTCAGGCCTTTCCTCCTGTTCTCTTCTGGCTGGAAAGCTATGAGCAAGGAAGAATGTAGCAGGAGATATGGCTAGAGACTTAGGAAGAAGCCTTATGGGCCCGGGTAAAGAATTGATATTTAGTCTAGATACCAAGGAAAGCTATGAGAGAATTTTATGCAAAGAAGTGATATGATCTGATTCATGCTTTAAAAAGATTTCTCTGACTACATATTGCATGATTTCATTTGTACGAAATGTCCAGGAAAAACAATTCTATAGAGACAGAAAGTAGATTAGTGGTTACCTGGGGCTTTAGGTGGGGCAGGAATTAGCTATAAATGAACATAAACATCTTATTAGGGTAATGGAAATGTTTTGAAACTAGGTTGTGGTGATGGTTGCACAACTCGGTAAATTTAATACAAATCATGTAATTTTACAGTTAAAATGGGTGAGTGTGATGGAATATAAATTATACCTCAATGAAGTTACATAAAAAGAAAATCTTTACTGGTTGTTACAAGGGAAATTGAATCAGGGGAACAAGACTGGTAGCAAGGTGACAGGTTAGGAAGCAATGCCAGTGGCCCAGAGAAGAACAATCCATCTTGAACTTGGGTGGTAGGCATAGAAGGAATCTGACTACGCAAGTTATTCTAGGCCAGGGGTTGGCAAGCTTTTTCTGTAACGTTCCAGAAAAAGCTGGGGAGGTGGGAGAAAATGGTAACGTCTGAATCATGAAGAGCCTAGAGTTTTGAAAAGACGTTTCTCTAGCTTCTGGACCACTGTATCTTAAAGTGCTTTGCAGACCACCTGCAGTGTTGTTAAAAGGCAAAATCCAGAGTGCCATCCCAGACCTACTGAATCAGAAACTCTGTGATGCACGGGGCCAGGAAACTGCATTTTTGGTAAAGGATAGATAGATGATAGAAAGACAGACAGATAAATAGATGGCCACCGCTGTGTCGACTCTGACTCATGACGACCTTATGAATAGCAGAACAAAACATTGCTCAGTCCTGTATCATCCTTACAATCCTCCGCATGTTGGAGTCATTCGTTGCAGCTACCCTGCCAGTCCATCTCACCCAGGGTCTCTCTAGCCCTCGCTGGCCCTCTACTTCACCAAACATCATATCCTCTGCCAGCGATTGATAAAGGAGCTCCAGCGATTGGTAAAGAACCAGAAAGTAAATATTTGAGGGCTAGTGGGCCGTATGGTCTCTGTCCCAACTCTGTCATCACAGCACAAAAATAGCCATAGACAAAACGTAATGAAGGTGCGTGGCAATGTTCCAATAAAACTTTGTTTGTGGATGCTGAAATTTGAATGTTATTTAACTTTCAGATGTCACAGAATACTATTTTCTTTTGATCTTTTTCCAACCTTTTAATAATGTAAAACCATACTTAGCACACAGGCTGCATGAAAACAGCTGTCAGGTGGGATTTGCCTACCCTGCTCTAGGTGCCTGCTGAAATGGACGAACAGTCCCTAGCCATTTCTCCAGAAGGAAGGAATAGTGAAGAAGAGGGCCAGCATGGGCGAGGGAGACCCTCGGCGAGACGGATTGACACAGGAGCTACAACGATGGACTTGCACATCCTGGCGATCGTGAGGATGGTACAGGACCAGGCTGTGCACGGCGTGATGTTTGGCTCACAGACCTCACAACAGGAAGGAGAGAATGAGCATCTGGTGTCTCCTGCTCTGTGTTTTCAAGGCCCATAATTACTGTCAGAAGAGGTTTCCACCCCACGCTGAATCACTGCATTGTCATTCTCCTCAAGGATTCTATTCAGTCCATAGCACAGGCATTTTTCTCAGATAGACTTGATCCTGCCCACCACCCTGAGTTCTGGGTAGGATTATTCTTCCTTTTTTTTCTTCTCCGGAGGATTTAAAGCAAAGTTAGCAAGCCTCTCCCCACTCCTCCCTGTATCTTTCACTAAGGACTCATATAAGCCCACATCTTTGACCTAGCTGTTAATCTTTCTTGCTAAGTTCTTTGAAGTCATTCATCCTGCTCAGGAGACAGGTAAGTCTTATACTGTAGATATTTTAAACTCCTTTTTAATTCCCCCTTTCTCCCCAAAGCATCAAGCCAACTAAGAAATGCATCTGCTGTAATTCCCAAGCTCCAGGATCCTGGAAGGGGAATGGTGGAAGAGCACGTCTATCATCTGCCATGTACGTTGCCCTTAAGCTAAGGCTCCACCCCTTGATCAAAGTCCAATTCTTTCCATTTTTTTCCCTTAAGAGATTGATTAGAATCGTAATGCATTCATCAGCTGGGAAGAGGGCTTGTCCTCACATTTGTCACAGAGGAAGTGTGAACTTTAATCCAAAGAAAGGGAATAAGGGTTGGATGTAAGAATGCACTCAAAAATGGCTGTCGGGGAAAACAGCTCAAAAGTTACGCTTTGCTGGTCAGTGGCTTTGGAAGCAAACAGACAAGGCTGCCAGTCCTGGCTCTTCAGACTGCGTTCCCTTGAGCCAGCTGCTTGTCTGAGCCCCAGTTTCCTCAAACGATAAAATGAGGATAGTAACAACTAATCGGTAGGGTTGCTTCAAGGACTGATGAATTTTGCTGTTGTTAGCTGCTGCTGAGTTGGCTCTGACTCATGGCGACGTCTTGTATAACAGAATGAAACATTGCCCAGCCCTTCATGATCGTTGGTATGTTTGAGGCCACTGTTGTGGCCATCATGTCAATCCATCTCCTTGAGGGGTTCTCTCATTTTCACTGACCCTCCACTTTACCAACCATGATGTCCTTTCCCACCAATCGCTAGGAAAGGACTCATGGATTGTTGTTGTTGTTAGGTGCTGTTGAATTGATTTTTGACTCATAGAGACCCCATGTGACAGAGTAGAACTGCCCCAGAGGGTTTTCCTGGCTGTAATCTTGTGGAAGCAGATTGCCAGGTCTTTCTCCCGAGGAGGCACTGGGTGAGTTTGAACCACCGACCTTTCTGTTAGCAGCCCAGCGTTTAACCCTTGTGTCACCATAGCTCCCTAGCACATCAGATGGTCAACAAATACTAGATTCTTTACTTCTTTTTCTTCACTAAGTGTTTTAAAGGCAGAACTTCACCTTTGAGTGTGTGTCACAGGGTCTGGTTGTAAAGAACACAGACTTTGGAGCCGCTGTCTGAGTTTGAAGTCTAGGGGTATTACTTAGCAGCTTAAGAACCTGGAGCAAATTGTATAGCATCTCCAAGCCTCTGGGTCCTCAACAGGAAGAGGAGGGTTGCAGAGTGAATGGACCATGATAATGTATTGAGAACGCCTAGCACTCACTGATGAGATTAACTTCTACATGAGTTTTCACCTCTCCACTAAGCACTGTAATTATTCTGTATCTGATTGGGCATCTTTCAGCTGCAAAGTACAGTGAGGAAGGCAGGTTTGCCTGTCAGGTTAAACTAAACTTGGTACATTTATGATCCTTGTTAATTGGAAGTTATGCAATGTTTAATTAGAGTGCCAGCGGCTTTGTCCTTACCATTCACTTTCCCAGCTCCAGGGTTGTCACCCATAAAACACAGACACAGTGTGAATCAATTTCGCAAGCCTCTTGGGCAGATTCTTGGCTCCTTGGTCACAACAGCCCTTCTTCTGGGAGTTTGACCAATGTGTCTAACTCTTTTGCCCGCCAAGATGTTTTGAAATAATCAATTCTGTTTCTTTTCAGCATCAGCCCATGAATGGCCATGTAAGTCATTCTAGCCAATCGGCTGTAAGTAAAAAGAAGTATGTCATCTCCTGAAGAGGCATTTAAGAATTGGTGATTAATCTTCCAGCTTTCCCCCTTCCACCCCCACCATGACTAAACTGACCACAGGTACTAGATGGTAGAACTGCAAGATGGTGGAGCCCCCATTAACCAGGGTCCCTGAGTGACTATGTGGAACAGAGTCCCCCGTTTGCAGTGAATATATACTATAAACAAAACCCTGCTGGCATAGTGGTTAAGAGCTTGTTTGCTAACCAATAGGCTGGTAGTTCAAATCCACCAGCCCCTCCTCGGAAACCCAGCAAGGCAGTTCTACTCTGTCCTATAGGGTTCCTCTGAGTCAGAATTGACTCAATGGCAACGGGTTTGGTTTGGTTTTGGTTATATACTATAAACAAGAAATCAACTATTATTGTATGAAGCCAATGAGATTATAAGGTTAATTTGTTACTTCACCATAACCTAACCTGTCCTAACTAACCCTTTTTCAGATTGTAAATCTAATGACTCCCCATGCACTGTTCTCAAGGAATTTCCCACACCAAAGTGGTTTGTTATCTAGCCAGTGACTTCAGAGTGCTTGTTGCTTTTTTCCAGGTGGGCCAGAGTATCCCAAACATGTTGAGCTACCTGCTACATGGTCCTCTGGTGAGGCTGTGTACGGGGCTCGCATGTCTCCTGTCCCTTTGGAACACAGGTGGGTCTGGTTGGAGTTTAAGAAGTGTCTGTGCTATATGCAAAGTGTGGGCTTTCATTGTGCTGTAGAGAATCTCAGCAGCCAACATTTCAGCCAAGAATCAAAAATGAGTTTGATCAAAATTGTGAAGGTGTCTTTTCCACACTTCTGGTTTGGTCCCTTGACTTTTTGGATTTGAGACCCATTGATGCAACAGAATTCCGTCCACCTCCACTGCCACCACCTTTGTCCAAGCCATCATCTCCTCTTTCTTGAACTATTAAAGAACTTCCTAAATCAGCTTGCTGCTTCTCCTCTTGTCTCCCCACAATCCATTCTCCACTTATCAACCTGAGTGATCTTCCCATATATCTCACCTTTCAAGCTCACCCCTCATTCCCCTCCTCTCCCCTAAAATCATTGAGTGACTTCCTACTTATCTTTGAATAGTATCCCAAGTCCTTCACATCCTCAACATGACCTTGCCTACCTCTCCATCACCAGTTCCTACAATATCTCACCCCCAAAACCACCACTGGTCTTCTTTTAGTTCTTTAAAGCAATTCACACACCCACTTCAGACCCTGGGCACATGCTATTTCCTATACATTAAATACTCCTCAGTTCATTACATCCTACTTGTCTTAGTTATATAGTGCTGCTATAACAGAAATACCACAAGTGGATGGCTTTAACAAACAGAAATTTATTCTCTCACAGGTTAGGAGGCTAGAAGTCTGAATTTAGGGTGCCAGCTCCAGGGGAAGGCTTTCTTTCTCTGTCAGCTCTGAGGGAAGGTTCTTCTCATCAATCTTTCCCTGGACTAGGAACTTCTCAACACAGGGACACCAGGGCCAAAGGATGCGCTTGCTCCCAGCTCTTTTTTCTTGGTGGCATGAGGTCCTTCTCTCTCCTTTTATCTCTTGTAAGATAAAAGGTGATGCAGGCCACACCCCAGGGAAACTCCTCTTACATGGGATCAGGGCTGTGACCTGAGTAAGGCTGTTGCATCCCATCCTAATCCTCTTTAACATAACCTAATCTTGCCTCATTAACCACCGGCAGAGATTAGGATTTACAACACATAGGAAAATTACATCAGATCACAAAATCGAGGACTACCAGCACAATACTGGGAATCATGGCCTAGCCAAGTTGACATGTATTTTGGGGGGACACAATTCAATCCATGACACTACTCAAATACTGTTCCTTCTTCAGATCTCAGCTCAGTAATCACTTCCTGGAGAAGGTTTCAAGATCCCTGAGACTAGATTAGATTCTTTCTTTCACATTCTCAAATTTCTCTTCAAAATATCCAACATTTGTTGTAATTATATGTTTGTCTTTTTATTTCCTTAATGTTTGCCTCCCCAACAGAATACCTAGCAAGTACTGGGTGCTCAAAACATTTTCATTCATTAATATTATTCTAGATAGCCAATATGTATCTGGTGACTAAATGACCAAATGAATCAACAAACAAACTGTTGTTAGTAGGTGCTATCAAGTGGTTCTGATTCATAGCGACCCTATGTACAACAGAGCTAACACTGCCCAGTCCTGTGCCATCCTCACAATCGTTGTTATGCCTGAGCCCATTGTTGCAGCCACTGTGGCAATCTAACTCCTTGAGGGTCTTCCTCTTTTTCGATGACCGTCTACTCTACCAAGCATGATGTCCTTCTCTAGGGACTGATCCTTCCTGACAACGAGTCCAAAGTATGTAGGATGTAGTCTTGCCATCCTTGCTTCTAAGGAGCATTCTGGTTATACTTCTTCCAAGACGGATTTGTTCCTTCTTTTGGCAGGTCATGGTATATTCAATATTCTTCGCCAAAACCACAATTCAAAGGTATCAATTCTTCTTCGGTCTTCCTTATTCATTGTCCAGCTTTCACATGTATATGAGGCAATTGAAAATACCATGGCTTGGATCAGGCAGGCACACCTTAGTCTTCAAGGTGACATCTTTGGTTTTCAACACTATTCAACAAATTTTTCAACATACAAACTAGATCTGGGATTTTAAACAAGTCTCTTCACCATTCCAGATCATAATTTTCACGTGTATAAAATGTCAATGTTTGGTTAAATTCTCTCTCATAAGTCTGATGAAATCTTTTTTTACTTTAGTGCCTGGCATTAAAGGAGGAACCAAGAAAGAAAAGGGAATAGCCTTCTTACCTATACCAGGTAAACAGACAGGTGCTCCTCTCCAGTTCACTCTGTTCTTAGACAAATTGCTTAGCTTCTGTAAGTCTTACTTCCTCTATCTGTAAAATGGAGATTGGACCCATTTTTTATATACTATAAATGGAGCCCTGGTGGCGCAGTGGTTAAGAGCTCATCTGCTAACCAAAAGGTCGGCAGTTCAAATCCACCAGCTCCTCCTTGGAAATCCTATGGGGCAGTTCTACTCTGTCCTGTAGAGTGGCTGTAAATTGGAATTGAATCAATGGCAACAGGTTTGATTTGGTTTTGGTTATATACTATAAACAAGAAATCAACGATTGTTGTATTAAGCCAATGAGATTATGAGGTTAATTTGAGGTTAATTATAAGGTTCTGTGAATGTCTGAAGTCCTAACAGTCGTTGTAATAAATAGTTCCTCTGAATTTCTCATTGCTTTATGGTTCATGGGACACTTGGATTCCCATGATTTTATTAAATCCACAAAGACTATGACTATGCTTTAGTGGTAAAAGATTTTATAAATGGGAGGTATTGTTATTTGCCATCATCACCTTCATAATAACTTCATCTTTTGTTGCTTTCTCTTTTTTGATGAAATTGGCTGTGTAGGAAGATGGTGAATGTGGGAGAACAGAAAGGGCCCAGAGGGGTCAGCGTCGGGTTTCTCTTCCTAACTTTTTAGTATGCAGGCAAGATATTTCTTTAAAATTTACTTTTATGGGTTTTTTTTCCCCCCCTTTTTTTTAAAAGCTTTTGGTAGATTATAATTTCTATACTTTTGTTTAGGGTTGAACATTTTTTTATTGTGGTAAATATGCATGTAACCAAACATTTACCATTTCAACATTCTTCGTATGTACAATTCAGTGACATTCGTTGTGCTCATCATGTTGTACGACCATCACCACTATCCATTTCCAAACTTTCCCTTCACCTTTAACAGAAGCTGTGTCTCCTAAGCAATGAGTCCCCTTCACCCCATCCCTCCCACCCGCCCCTAATAACCACTAATAACCTTAAGTTTGTATACACTTACCTATTCTAGATATCGCATATAAGTGGAACCTGACTTGTTTGCTTTGGAGAGTTTTGTATTCTTTATTCTTTAAAGTTTATTTACTTTTAAATAGGCAATACATTCACATGGTTGAAAATGCAGAAGCTATAAACAAGTATATACAGTTCAAATGCTCCCCTTAGCCAACCATTTCCCTTCCCAGAGGTCACCAATTATACCAATTTCTTGAATAAGCAGGGTCATTTTAAGTATCCGTTTCCTCCATTGGAGCCTCTAATTTTCTCCTCTTCAAATGGGAAGTACAGTACCTGCCCCACAGGGAATCAGTCATAAAGGGTACAAGCTGATGAACTCATAAGCATGAACAAGTATGAAAAAGTGTCAAGTATCCTGTATTCTATAGACACGCCTATTGTCATCTTCTGATCCAAAAATAGAACAAGGATTTCATATGATCCGTCCAGCAATGTATTTGGGAAATGCTTCTGTGTAGCATCTTATTGTGAAATCCATGTGCCAGGGGTGTGTAGTTAGCACCTTAAGTATTGTTATAAAAATGTATGCAAGGTTTGTAATTAGAAAAAGAACTGCGAGAAATAACCTTGCATTGGCGAAACGAAGGGTGTTTGAGGTAGGTGTTCCACTAGAAAGATTTCACAAGACCCAGCACAGCACTCTGACATAAAAGGGATAGGAATTCTGCAAGCCAGAGCCTAGAGCACACTTGCAGTCCTGGAAATCCAGGGCTGGGTGAGCCTGGGTCGCTCACCTTCATGGAGGACTCTTGCCTGACCAGGTAACAAGCAAGGTTGGCTCGCGTGGCCCACAGATATCCTTGCATCTGCTTCAGACTACACCATTCATGCCAAGTGCCACTCAGAATGCCTGAAGGGACAGAGCTGGACTGTCCCCAAGCTAGCAAACTGGCTGTTTGGCTGGGTTTGACATGCCTGCTCATAAAGGTTTGTCTCTGATTTATTTTGTTGGAAACACTGCCCGCCCCCATCCCAGGCACATTGTGGGGAAGAGGTTCTATAACCCCAACCTACCTCTAACCCCAAACTCTGAGATTTAACAAAAGAACCCGGTAATTATGAAAGGCCAAACTGGCTTACGCAGGCAACAGCTGATTTGACCTAAGTCTCAACAGAGTGCTTGGAAAGTCGGGGGAAATAACGTGGGAGAATTCTCTGATCAATGAGATTGCTGCCTCCCAGTTTCCTCTTCACCACTAACCCAGGTAGGATGTAGATACATCTCGTGTCTTTTCTGGACCTCACTTTCCTCCGTCAAAGTGGGTGCTGGGCAAGATTTTTAAGGCTATTGTAAATGCTGTGAAGCTGTGCTTCCAGGAGGCTATTTCTCTCATGAAAACTTTTATTTCGGTGTCTGGAAATAAAGAAGTAAAGAAGGAAAAAGATGAAGCTTTCCTCACTGCACCAGGTAACTAGGCCCGCCCTACAACCTGGCTTACTCTGTAATGCTAGGCACACTTTTCAGCCTCTCTGTGCCTTGGTTTTTCCATCTATAAAATGGACATAAAGCACCTTCTCCACGTGAATGCAGCATGAAAATAAAGCATCACAACAATGATACAACTTATTACAATTTAGTAATAAATGCCATGTGATTACATGGTGTCTACTCCAAAACAGGAGCCCCGGTGGCACAGTGGATAAGAAGTCAGCTGCTAACCAAGGTCAGCAATTTGAATCCACCAGCCGCTCCTTGGAAACCCAATGGGGCAGTTCTACTCTGTCCTGTAGGGTCGCTAGGAGTCGGAATGGACTCAACAGCAATGGGTTTGGTTTTGGTAGTCCAAAATAACTTATCCTGCTGGTCTCGGCTTAAGCACCATGTCCCGGTTGTTGTGGTTAGGTGCCATCGACGGGTTCCAACTCATAAGAACCCCATGTATAACAGAACAAAATGCTGCCTGGTCCTGTGCCATCCCCACAATAGTAGGTATATTTGAGCCCATTGTGGCAGCCATCGCACTGAGATCTTCCTCTTTTTCGCTGACCCTCTACTTTATCAAGAATGATGGCCTTCTCCAGAGACTGGTCCCTCCTGATAATGTGTTCAAAGTCAGAGAGACCAAGTAAGCTATGCCACCGATATTTCAAATACCAGCAGGGTCACCCATGGTGGACAGGTTTCAGTGGAGCTTCCAGACTAAGACAGGATAGGAAGAAGGACCTAGCCATCTACTTCTGGGAGAAAAAAAAACTCTATGTTGAAACTCTATGGATAGGAGCAGAACATGGTCTGATATTGTGCTGGAAGATGAGCCTCTTAGGTTGGAAGGTACTCAAAATATGACTGAGGGAGAGCTGCCTCCTCAAAGTAGAGTCAACCTTAATGACGTGGTTGGAGTAAAGCTTCTGGGACTTTCATTTGCTGATGTGACATGACTCAAAATGAAAAGAAACAGCTGCAAACACGTCCAGGTTAGGTCCCCTGATAAAGGGGCTCTCAGCACCCTGGGGTTCCCTGTACTGACACTCATCACAGGTAATTACACCTGGGCCCACCCCCATACACACACATACACACACACACACACACATACACACACATGGACAGTAGATTCCATGAAAAGAGACCTGATTCTCTTGTGCTTAACTCTCTATTCTCAACATCTGGCATATTGCTAGCCCTGAGTGAGCATGTGTTGAATGGACACAGAATAAATGGATGTGAAAAGACCCTTAAGCACCATCAACACCAGGATAGACATTTCACCTTCCTTTGACCTTTCTTCCTTGATAGCCAGAAATTTGCCAAGCAGGCAGGCAGCCTGATATTCTAGAAGGTCCCTGATCTGCAAGTGTATGAACAGGGGTCTGACCCCATCCTTAGTGCTGCTCAGCTGGGCACATTTAGGCAATTACTTCTCTGAGCCTTAGCTTTTGAATCCAATAAAGGAATGTGGCTAGGTCCCTGGGTGGTGCAAACAGTATGCATTCGGCTACTGAAGGTTGGTGGTTTGAATCCACCTAGCAGCACACGGAAGAAAGGCATGGCGATCTGCTTCTGTAAAGATTACAGAAAAAAAAAACCAAAAACCTGTCACATATGGGGTCGCCATGAGTCAGAATCAACTCAATGGCAATTTTTTTTTTCTCTTGGTTAAAGGAGTGGGGTAGATTAGACCCCCTGCTAAGGGGGTCACCTGGGTGCTTACTAAAATGCAGATTTCTAGGCCGTGCTCAGCTAGGAGAGATTAGACTCCCTGGAGGAGGCGCCCTGGGATCTGCGTTGTCCCCCAGGGCCGCTAGAGAGTTTTATTCTCGCTAAGGCTTCCCCAGCTCTGTGGGGCTGTCCTTGGAAGCTAGCATTCCTCTCATAAAACGTTTTCCTTCGCAGTGCCTGGCCCTAGAGGGGAGGAGAGGAAGGAAAAGGGGGTGGCATTTGTCGCTACCACAGGTGAGTGTCTAGGCTGCCGGCAAATCCTCCGGAGTCTCTGTGCCTCCCTTCCTGATCCCCACAGCAGGGAGAACGGCTCTCTTATCTTCAGGCTGCTTCTCACACTCATTGTCTGAACAGTAAGTAGAAGCTGAAAAAGACTTCATGTTTGTGAAAACAAAGAGGCCTATCAACCACGTTTCCTCTTTTCAACCGCTGTTTCCAAACCTTCAGAGAACAGCTCAGGAAAGGGGAGTTATGACCCAGCAGCGCCTCTGGAATCAGCTGCTCACCACACACACCTGGGGAGGTCTGGGCCACATCCCAGAGCAATTAGATCCAATCTCAGAGGGTGGAGCCCAGGCACTGGAATCTTGGAATTTAACAAAAAACTTTCTAGGTGACACTGATGTCCAGCTAGGGTTTAAGCCCCTCTGTTATACAGTGTAGGTGGTGCAAATGATTAACACACTTGTCGGCTAATGGAAAGGTTGGAGGTTGGATTCCACCCAGAGGCACCTCGGAAGAAAGGCCTGGTGATCTACTTCCAAAAAAAATCAGCCACTGAAAATGCCCCTGGAACACAGTTCTACTCTGTCACACATGGAGTCACCATAAGTTGGAGTAGATGTGACCACAACTGCTTTCATTACAACATGTCATTATTTCAAAAATACACAGCTATTGAGAATTCTCACAATTTCCTTGGGTTTCCCATCATATATGAGACATTTCTCATCAACCCCTGCTCTCTCCAGAGATAGAATATTCACCAAAATGAAAGTTCCTTGCGCTTCATTCGGACCTCTCCTGTCTATTGTGGCTTGTCACTCTGTACATCACTGGGTGTGACTTCTGTGAGGCAGGAACTGCATCTTGTCTTTGAACCCCTTGCTATGTGTCCAGTGGAAAGCACATCTGCCTGAGTTTTGGAAAGGAAGAACTTTACCTGTTGCTGGAAACCCTGCTGTCACAGTGGTTAAGAGCTATGACTGCTAACCAAAAGGTCGGCGGTTGGAATCCACCAGGCACTCCTTGGAAACTCTATGGGGCAGTTCTATTCCCTCCTATAGGGTCACTGTGAGTCTGAATCGACTCCACGGCAATGGGTGTGGTTGCCAGGAAAGCCTGCTAGTGACATTGTCTGCAAACCTCTTTCAGAGATACCTGCTAAGCTGGTGGATCTGTCTGCACTTAACCTGACGGAACTAGTGAACGGGATGCTGAGCAGAGCTTTAAGAGGTAATGACTCTTTCCCTTCGCACAATCTAGGCTGAACATGGGCAGGACACATGCCCTCTCTGTGCCTCAGTTTCTCTTTGGTCAGAGCAGGGCTTCAAACTGGTTCATTCCACCCCAGATACACTGAATCAGAACCTACATTTTAACAAGATACGTGGGTGATTCTTATGTATAATAAATTTTTAGAACCACTGCTCCACTAGTAGAGCCCTGGTGGCACAGTGGTTAAGAGCTTGGTTGCTAACCAAAAGGTCAGTGGTTTGAATCCATCAGCCGCTCCTTGGAACCCCATGGGGCAGTTCTACTCTGTCCTATAGGGTGGCTATGAGTTGGAATCAACTCAACGGCAAGGGGTTTGGTTTGGGTTTTGGGCTGTACTAGTGGTTCTCAGAATTGGTCCTAACTAGCAGCGTTAGCATCGGCTGGGGACTTGTTAGAAATGCAAATTCTCAGCAGGGGTTTGAACTGGAACGAACCAATTGAACCCAAGGTTCAGAGTGGAGACTATGTTATCCTACATAATTCATGATGAGATTGAAAACATCAAAATAAATAAGAGGTTTGGGAGCAACATACATTCCAGATATACTATTTATAATAATAACTATGGAGTCCCTGGGTGGTACAAACAGTTAACGCACTCGGCTGTGAACCAAAAGGTTGGAGGTTCAAGTCCACCTAGAGGCGTTTCAAAAAAAAAAAAAAAGGCCTGGCGATCTACTTCTGAAAAACAGCCTTTGACAGGAGGGGACAGGAAAGCTGGTAATAAGGAACCCAAGGTCGAGAAGGGAGAGTGTTGACATGTCGCGGGGTTGTTAACCACGGTCATAAAAAATATATGTACTAACTGTTTAATGAGAAACTATTGTTCTGTAAACCTTCATCTAAAGTAGAATAAAAAAAACAAAAACCAAAAAACCAGCCTTTGAGACCCTATCAAGCACAGTTCTACTCTGACACACATGGGGTTGCTGTGAGTAGAAGTTGACTCAACAGCAATTGGTGTTATAAAGATATATTCACTTCCTAATTCCCGAGATCCATGAATACTACCTTATATGGACAAAGAGTGAATATTGGCTTACAGGGTAAAAGATGTGATTAAGTTAAGGATCTCGTGATGAAGATATTATCTGATATTACCCTGGTGGGACCTAAATACCATCACAAGTGTGTAGGAGAGAGGCAAAGAGAGACTCACACAGAGAAGGTGGTGTGAAGAAGGAGCAGAGAGAGATACAGCCACAAGCCAAGGAATGCCAACTGCCCCCAGAAGCTGGAAGAGGCAAGGAACAGATTCTCCCTTAGAGCCTCCAGAGGGAGCCTGACCCTGCTAGATCTGGCTTCTAACCTCCAGAACTGTGAGAGAATAAGTTTCTGTTGTTTTAAGCCACCTAGTTTGTGACGAGAAGCCCTGGTGGGGTGATGGTTAAGCACTAGGCTGCTAATCAAAAGTTTGGTAGTTTGGACCCACCCAGCGGCTCCACAGGAGAAAGACCTGTTGATCTGCTTCCATAAACATTACAGCCTAGGGAACACGACAGAGAGTCCTTGATGGAGCAGGAGAAAAGCGGGGTGCAGAACTCAAATTCATGTAAAAAGACCAGACTTAACGGTCTGACTGAGACTGGAGGAACCCCAGAAGACATGGCCCCTGGACTCTCTGTTAACCCAGAACTAAAACCATTCTCGAAGCCAACTCTTCAGACAAAGATTAAACTGGACTATAAAACATAAACTAATACTCGTGAAGAGTGTGCTTCTTAGTTCAAGTAGATACACAAGACTAAATGGGCAGCTCCTGTCTGGAGGCGAGATGAGAAGGCAGAAAGGGATAGGAGTAGGTTGAATGGACACGGGAAATCAGGGGTGGAGAGGGGGAGTGTGCTGTCACATTATAGGAATAGCAACTAGGGTCACATGACAATATGTGTATAAATCTTTGTATGAGAAACTAACTCGAGCTGTAAACTTTCACCCAAAGCACAACTAAAAAAAAAAAAAAAAGATTATAGCCTTATAGCCTAGGAAACCCTATAGGGCAGTTCTACTCTGTCACATGGTGTCACATTGAATCAGAAACAACTTGTGATGGTTAAGGTTGTGTGTCAACTTGGCTGGGCCATGATTCTCACTGGTTTGCCAGTTGTATGATGTTGTGATGACTTCTATGTTGAGATTTGATATAATGTGATAACCCTCATGATGGGATCTGCTGTGAGTAGCCAATCACTTGAAAGGCAGTTTCCTTGGGCGTGTGGCCTGCTTCGAATATAAGTGGACGTTCTGGCAAGGCTTGTGGGCATTTACTCACTCTGGACCCTGCAACTGGCTCCTGTTCATCTGACCTCTGGTTCTTGGGACTTGAGCTAGCAGCATACCTGCAGTCTTGCCTGCTGATCTCGGGATTCCTTGATCTTGGCAGCCTGTGAGCCACAGCCCTGCTCTCAGACCTGCTGATCTTGGGTTCACCAGCCCCTGCAGCTACATAAATCAGGAGAAGCCTCTAGCCTGACCTACAGACTTGGGATGTTCCAGCCTCTACAACCATCTGAGCCATTTACTTGATATAAATCTATATACATATATATACATTTAGATGCTTTACTGGTTTTGTTTCTCTAGAGAACCCAGCCTAAGACACAGCTCAATGGCACACAACAACAACAGTTTGTAGTGATCTATTGCAGCAGGCTCAAGAAACTAATATACCTTGGAATCTTACTTAGAGAGCTGTCAGAATTCAGGGAGAGAACAGGAAATACAGCCAAGTGACACATTTGTGTTTGTTGGTTTTATTTTATTTATTATCATTTATTTTTATTATTTTATTCTTTATTTTATATTTGTTTTTGTTTATTGTATTATTCATGTTTATTTTTATTTACTTAGATTAGTGTTTATTATTATGATAGTATGAATTTGTTGGTTTGTTTATTTCGTTATCTTCTGGCAGATAACAAGAAGTTCTTCTCCTTGCTCAGTATTACTTCCTACAGCTCCCTTCACCTTCCACAAGTTCTCCGTGGCCATTTACAATAGTAAGTGCTGCCTGGCTCGTTCTGGAGGGGGCGGTGGTTGGTGACAGGCTGGCAGGGCTCGGCACTGGATCAGGACTGCTGTGTGGACTGTTTCTCTTCACAGTTTCTAACCTGAAGACTGTGGACCCCACCAAATTCCCCACCAGATACTGCCACTGTTGGAGCTACCGGACCAATGACTTATCAGGTGGGTGGAGCTCACCACAGGCTGGCAGCTTTCCTGCTTTTGCTTCTGCTCTTTTAGATAAAGTTTGCATTTTTTTCTCTCCTTAAAGTAAAATAAGAAAATATCTATTACATCAAATATATGCATATTCATTCTTCTGGAACATTCTGATCTTGGTTCTTAGAGAAAGAGCTATTTGGGCACAAAGAGGCACGTACAAAAATGTTCATGTGACGTTGTTTCAATAACAAAACACAAAGTTTGACCAGTCACCAAGTGCCTGGGGTTGAGTCCTCTTCAAATCGCTACCCTGAGAGACTGTACACTACCCTGAGAGGCTGTACACTTCCCTGAGAGAATGTACACTGCTCTAAGAGGCTGTACACTATCCTGAGAGACTGTACACTGCCCTGAGAGGCTGTACACTACCCTGAGATGCTGTACACTTCCCTGAGAGACTGTACACTG